GGGGGGGGGGGGGGGGGGGTTGGTATTTTTTAAATTATAGCTTATATTTTCTGATATAAATGATACTGAGTCATTTTGAAGGGGCTGCTATATAAATCAAATAAATAGTAAACATTTGGTTATTTATTTATTTTATTTATATGGCAGCCCCTTCAAAATGACTCAGTATCATTTATATCAGAAAATATAAGCTATAATTTAAAAAATACCAACCCCCCCCCCCCCCCCCCCACCAATTTTCATGAATCCTCCTGCTCTAGTGCTTGGAGGGAAAGTCAGCTCTTTAAGGCTTATGAAAAGCAAGCAGAGTCAGGACCATCCATATCTCAGAAGGAATGCTATTCCATAGGAGAGGCACAGCAACAGAGAAGACACAACCACAAGATGGGATTAAGAGACGTGACCCAGAGCATGCCAACCCTGTTGGATCTTATTGGATGGGCAGAACTGATAGGAGATGGTCAGTCCCAAACACAACATGATCCAATGCCATGAGGGACTTTAAAGATAATAATCAGCACCTTGAACTGTACCCAGAAGCCCACTGGTAACCAGTGCAGCCCGTAAAGTAGAGATGTTATATGGGTGTACCAAGGTATGTCCATATCTACTCCTCTACTACATTTTGGACCAGCTACAGCTTCTGGGTAGCCTGCAAGGGCAGCCCCAAATAAAACACATTGCAGAAGTCCAGAAGAGAAGTGATCAAACCAAGGTGTGAGTGACCATGAGAAGGGCCTCCTGATCCAAGAGAGGGTACAGTTGGCAGACAACATGGATTTGTGCAAAGATCCACCAAGCCATGATTCCAACCTGCTCTTTGAGCACCAGTCATGAATCTAAGAGGCCCCTTGGATTGTACTGGGTCTGTTTGAGAAAATGCAACCCTATTCAGGACTGGAATAGATGGGAAATCTCTGAATCCAGGAGGTCTCAAAATCTTTTGAAGCACCAACTACAGACTGTAGTTCCCACAGGCCTAAGTTCATCTGGTAGCATAGATGGATGCAGCTTAAAATCTACTGTCAGCTATGAAGGAAAATAGCTAAATATTCACATTGTTGCAGTCCTGATTACATTGCATGATCCGGACAAAATGGCTTCCTCTCAGATCAGCATCCAGCTATGCCATTGGCCTGATCCCACTTCTGCTGCTTTCTACTTTGTGGCACCCAGTTGTCCTTGCATTTGGACTCCAAGGTCAGGCATATTCTGGTCACAACTGCCATACCTCCAAGCATCCAAGTGAAGTAACCACCACTATCAACCAAGTCACACTTGCTGCCACTACTCTGCAACTCAACAACAAGCAGCTGATCAGAAGTGTCTCAAATATCAATTACATTTTTTTCTTAAGTGTCAGGATATTTTTGCATCTTTTTTGCAGTTTTGTGGAAGTTTCATAAATGTTTCAGGTATGAGTATGTCAGCCTCCTATCTACAAGGATAATGACTTTATATATGTCTCATCTTTATATGTTGCCTTTAATTTATATATTTTTTAAAAAAATGTATTATTGGGAGAAATAGCAACATCCCTTGGTAATTCTCACAGTTCCAATTCATAAAATATCTGGGTCTCCAACCTCTATTGCAATATTTTTAAAGTTCTTCCATTTCTGGTACTTTGCATCCCATTCTTCAGTTCATATTTATATTTACTTGAAGAATCCTGAAGAATGCATTATTTAAGTGTATCACTCTTCTTCTGAACAGAAAGATGACATGGGAGCATATGAAACCTTGTGTAATACTGGCTTGTTTAGCCTGCTACTGATTTGAATCATCCCAGTCTTCTACTGCCTAAAATGCCCAAATTAAACAGTGAGTTGCTTTCATGCTATGTAATTAGCTTTTCAGTTGATTTTGGCCATCACTAAAAACAAATGGCTATCTTCCCCAGCTGCTAGATCAAGGACTGGCAGCTGTACACCCACACACTGATGTACATATGTGCCTCTTCAGACACACAGAGACATAATACATGCATTAATCTCTTTCCCTCCCTTATTCTCTCTCTCAGCAATCTTGAATACTGTTTCTTGGGGAAACACAATGAAATATTCCCACTCCTAGCAACCCTGCTTATATGACTTCTCACTGCAGAAAACCAGTAATTTTCAGCAGATTCATTGAGAAGGGAAAAGTATCTTCCATCCTTTTAAATCTGATGAAGATTGCTTGTTTTCTACTGCAGTTAACAGTGGTAAGCCAATTCTTCTCTAATCAGCTAGTTCATGATAAACAGATCACACATTTTCTGCTTCTTAAAACCAGCAATGCATTCCCACTGACTCTTGATCATTATGATAAATTGTTGGTGAATTGGGCAGGAATGCCTGAGGTTTCGTGGACAGTACTTTTCACACCAAAACTTTCATGAAGGGTTGGGTCCTCACTCTGGCTAATTCTGGACTAGATGGAGCTTTGAAGTAACCCAGTAGAGTTCTTCTTATTAATTGACTCCAGAGTATATATTATGTAAAGTACTTAATTTTATTTAGCAGCTTGCTTGAATGGAATGGTTTTCCATTAGAAATCATGCCAAGAAAAACTGAATCAATTGATATTCCAGTCTAATTTTATTAAGAATAATTTACACATGATTTCCAGATGACCTGAAAGTGTTCCTGCTAGAGTACAGACATTTGTCATTTCTGCCAGATGATTAGACTGACACTCTGGATGCCAACAATGGGATGAAAAACCATGCCTTAAAGAATAGATGCATTATACATGTTCATAATAGCACCTCTTAATAGACATAGTCACAAAGGTTTTGTTTAATTTCCCAAAGTTTTGAATTCCTCTGATATCACTGATTGTCCAACATGGAATGTCCAAGGGACATTCTTTTTCAGGAAAATGGCTCTAAGGAAACAGAAAATAGTTTTTTTAGTTGCTGGTGCTGAATACATTTGCTTTAAGCAACTCTTTTGACTTCTAATTAAGTGTTTATGCGTTACTTAACTGTGTCTTGTTGTTGCCTAATCATGCAATATGGTTTTTCATCTCTATCATTTTTCCTAGGTAGCAGGGATCAAAGGCATATTGCTGGCTAACAAGAAAGTAGAAGACCAAATAAAAACGTTCATCACCTACAACAAAGGAAGAGATTGGCGTTTGCTACAGGCTCCAGATTCTGATTTGAGAGGGGACCCCATTCACTGTCTGCTGGTCAGTGATGGAAAATTTCCAAGCTTTAATTTGTGCATCAGTTTCCCAAGCCCAAATATAAAAGGAACTTATTGATGCCAATGGAATGCTTTCTTGAAATCCAGCCCTGTATTGTTAATTTATCACTTAATAGTTCCATCCTCCCCAAAAAATATACTTCATGGGATCATTATGAACATTAAATAGCAGGCTGTGAATTTATCTTAAATGTCATTGCTTTCTACAGAAAGAGGGCTTGGAAACATTACTATTTAATTATATTGTTTTACTCTTCCAACTTTAGAAGGTGAAGTGATTTAGTAATTTTATTTCATAAAGTCAGACAAACCAATTATACCATATGATCTGAACTGCTATTTGCCATTGCAAGAAATGGGAATGGAAAGAAAGCTCTTGAAAAATGGTGGGTGTCCAGCAAGTTTCTAGAGAAGGACATTTCTATAGTTGTACAGAAACCACAATCTCTTTCATGTATTACCTTCATGTGTTAACCCACATGAACAAGCAATATTAATATATGTTTGGAAATTAATTGTTGGTGGTAGTTGGTGCCAGTGACATAGGTCAGGCTCACCACATGCTATTTGTGAACAATGAAAAAGTGAACTATAATATCAAGAGGATAGATTAGTCTATACACTCAGGGTGCATTTATCAATGACTATGTATATGATTTCTCAATTCTTTCAGCCTTTCTGTTCCTTGCACTTACATTTGCAAGTCCCTGAAAACCCTTACACTTCAGGCAGCATTTCAAGCAAAGAGACAGTTCCTGGACTTCTGGTTGCCACAGGTAAATAAATGGAATTGTTCCTGCTCTTTTCAAATGTATGTCTGTTTTCCAAACACAGCTCACAGACAATGTTATCTGCATTTGAACATTTCCGGGGAAGCACAGCTATAGGCATAGCATTCATTCATTCATTCATTCATTCATTCATTGGGTGCCTTCAAGTCAGTTTTTTTGACTCCTGGCAACTGCCTGGACAAGTCCCTGCAGTTTTCTTGGCAAGATTTTGAAAGTGGTTTGCCAGTCCCTCCTTCCTAGAAGAGAATGACTGGCCTAAGGTCACCTAGTTGGCTTCATGCCTAAGTTGGGACTAGAATTCACAGTCACCCACTTCCTAGCCTGATGCCTTAACCACTAATCCAAACTGGCTCATAGGCATAGCAGCATTCCATAAAAGACTGCAATAAAATAACAGATTGATTTTCAAAAGCTATATTCATTTCATGACTAAAGCCACCAAGAATTTAATTGGTTCAGATGGGTTTGTGGATTTACACACATCTTAAAATAGCTACATTACCTGCCTATTCATTCATACATACACATGCACACACACTCACACTCACTATCAGCATTTTCTCCAAAGCCTTGAGGTAGGGGCCTGAATACCAGGAGATCCTTTCCCCAGCCTACCCATAATTTGAATTCTGCTGAGGCTCTTCTCAAAATGTTTTCTTTACCATAAGTGTACTTTGCAACAACAAAGAGAAATGTGGTCAGATTTTCACCCCAAGTATGGAATGCCCAGCCTATAGAGATGTTCTTGGTACCTGTATCATATTATTTTTGGTCCCATGTTATGACATTTTGTTCTGAGCATTTCAATCTGAAAAGCCCTTAAACTGTTGTATTTTTTAACTGCTGCTTATTGTTATGGTTTTATTGTATATTTTAGGGTTTTATTAGTTTTTTGCTGTTCATATTCCTGGAATTTAATCAAGGAACACACATGTTTTAAACTAAACATACACTGTATGTCTGTGTTGAAAATAGAACTGTTATAGCATTTAATCCCTCTCCTTTTGTATGTCTTTTAAATGGATGCTTCACATACATATTTCATGCATATTTTATATGAAGATGTTCACAATACCTGTTTGGAAATGTTTCCCTTTCCAAAGGGAGTAATATATAAGAATATAATTCAAACATATTGTGATGTAGGGCAGGAGCAAAGCAACTATATCTATCCAAATATGATATCTGCCAAGTTCAGCATAATTGTGACTGGTTCGTAAGTTAATGCATAAATAGGTTAGGTTATTTATATGTATAAATAAATAAATGAATAAAATGAATAACAATAAATAAAATTATTTATTCAGAGAGTTATGGGTCTAAACTATGGCTGAGGTTGGAAAGAGTGATGCATCTCCATCACTTGGTCGCAGCCAAGAGTTAAAATCAAGCTCTGCTGAGCTCCAGGATTTTCCCCAATTATTTTTTGTGGATTTGGGTTATCCTAGATCCCCTCAAATGGAGAGAGAAAATAAAACTCAGATTTGGAAGAAATAAAACAGTATGGTTCCTATATAATTGCACTGGTGATCATGGAAACACCCAGCTCATTCTGTTAGGATCTGAATGGCTTGAGCCTTTAGTTCGCTCCAGTCTTTCTCTATCCCTCTGCCTTGCCATCTCTATTTATTTTTGTTCTGTTTGAGGCCACTACATGCCATCACTGTGCTGCTCCTCATGTCAGGGGCAATTACCTGTGAAATAGCATCGATCCATGCTGCTGTACCTAAGAGTGACCCTTCTATCCACTCCTACACACTATTTTACTGCCACTTTGGACTATTGGCTTGCAGTGCCTTCATATTAAAACAGCAGTTCCATATTAAAACATGGAGGTAAATCCTGGAAAAGAGATGGGTATGACCAGGGATAATCATAAAGCATTGAAAACAACTAGGTGTTTGTGCAAATATTATATATACTGAAAGGATACATTTTTAGAGTACCACAGATATTTGGTTACTATCTAGCCTGTCATGATTTCTCTTGAGGCCTGGGAAGTTACAGAACGTGGAAAGGAAATATCTCCCTCAGACTGTTATTCAATGGCACAGTTTCTTGGAAGCACTGCCATGTTACTGTTTATCCTGCTGAATCTAAAAAAGGATTGCTGTGGATTATTGCATCCCTACTCTTAAGCAATGCTCCATTTAAGCTCTCTACTGGCATTGTTATGGTTGGGAAATGTTTCTTGCATAGAAGGCTGCCCTGGAGTGACTGGCAGCAGCTGTGTGTACTCTTGGGCCACTCCCTTGCAATAAAACTTCACAGAGATGCTGCCAAGGAATTACCAGTAGCTGTACATGTGACAGGAATTTAAGAGCTATTATTCATAATTGTTCTGCTTTTTCCCCTGTTAAAAAGAACTTGAGAATGCTTTGTTGCCCTGTATTTGATGTTCTCCGTACTTGTCCGTGAAACCTATCTTTAACTGATCACAGGATTCTAATGACAGCCTGTGATAATGTTAAATGCCAGCAGTGCCCAGGCTCTGGTAATTAATCTGACAGCCATCACAGCACCTGTATGTCTGCATTTGCCTGCTCACAGTAGGTTGTCTCATCAGGATGGCCATCGTCATCCAGCTTGATGCAGGGTTCCCAGCATGCTTAGTTCAGCAGGAGCTGTCCAAGGTTACTAAAAACTTGTTGAACGGTTGTCACTACAGATAACTTGTGTTTATAACTTGGAAAGTTTTCTGTATTTTCCCCAAAATGTCAGCCAGCTGGCATATTGCTGCTTATAGGAGCCTCAGCTATTATTCAATTATATTCATGCCCATAACGAATTTGTATATTGCCTATCACATGCTCAGACCTAAAGCATAGACAGATCTCTTTGACTAGATTGGTAGGCAATAAGGTGGTAGTCTAATGCACATAGCTCAGTCTAAGAAATGTCAATGAATTGATAAGTTGATAGTTCTGTCAGACCAATTAGTATCACCAGATTGGATTTCTAATATAATATACTTATTTTCTAGATGAGGAGGCCTGCCCTATAAATATACAGCTAGGACTGTCTATAGTTCATTTCTCCCTTATACCATCAACCCATATAGGAAAGACAAAGATACCATCAACCCATATAGGAAAGACAAAGACAAAGATATAGAGAACTTGTCAAGTTCTCTATACAAACTTGTTGGATTTGACATATAGTAAGAAGCTAGAATTGATTTAGATTGGGTGGATATTGAAATGTAATCCTTTCAGTTATGCAAATACACAGGAAAACACACACACACACACACACACACACATGCAAGACCTTGTAATTTGATTTAGAACCATACGTGGATCAAACCTTGAAGGAGACCGCAGATCTTCTCCTTACACACATCCAATTGTTGTGTTCTCCTTTCCAATCAAGAAAACTCCCCTTTGATTATGAAGATGGTAGGCAGAAGTCAACATTAAGAAGTCTTTGGCTGCCATATGTAGAAGCAGGTGTGCTGGTTTTCAGCACAAAATTGTGGTTTTGTGCATGCTATGTGCAAAATGTGGTTTTCTTGCGGGGTTGGGGAAGGGACCATACATCTGAAAATGCCATCAAATTATCAACAGAACCAACTTAACAGACATTTCAGATGGTTTTAGACAGTTATTGAAATAAAATACATAGTATGCACCATAGATGAGCTTCTCTTCGCATAATTTATAAAGTATAAGAGTATCTTTTTTATTCAAGAATTGCAGAGGGAAGGGGTTAGTGATTTTTATAAAGCAATCACTAGATTGGTAATGAACTCCAGAATGAAGAAGCTGAACAGAACTGTTTTTACTAGGAATCAAACTATTAGTAAAGCTGCAATTTTCTCTCTAAATAAGAACATGTATCATGGAGATATACCGAAGATTCAGACTCACAATGAACAAACTGCTTACTGAACTATAATGACCTCTAAAAAAGGCCATAGATTTAAGAATGGAGTTCATAAGAGAAGTTAGAAGTGAGCCGGAGTTTTTGTGTTCAGGGTTGGGGGTGTGGGTGCATATCTATGTGTCACCATCCTAAAGGTAAAGAACATCCCAAATACATGGTCCCTAAGGAAACCATAGAATCCCCCATTCTTAAGAGGCTGGTAAATTTAAAGAGAGAGAGCCAGATATAGAATAAATCCCTGGATTTCTATTGTAAATATCTGTAGCAGTGGCAGAGCTTGAGGTTGGGACACATAGGACTAGGCAATGTGTACAGGCAGATTTCCTTGGGGATTCCTGGTATATACAGAAGCCTCATCAGCTTATTTGAAATAGCTATAATAGTCTCTGTTGAAATTTTATGCAGAGTAACAATTCTTGAATTTTATTCATTAAAACAATTAAATTGTTAAATTCTGTAATTTAATAGTTTCTACCAAGAACTTGTCATATGACTTTTTTGTATTAATCATAACCCTTAAGTTTCAGGTTTTATTTTTAGCAATGTTAAGTATCTTTGCAAGTTGGCAAGCTGCACCCTCTTCTCACTGGTAGGAATGTGTCAAGCTGCATCTGGGCTTTCATTCTTCATTTTCCAACATTAAATGTCAGAAACTCAATTAACATTTTCATTAGTGTGTATTTATTTGCCTGCACTGAAGTGACAAAAGTCCAGGATTGACTTTCTCTTCCTTTTATTTTTAAGATAAAACAAAACAGAAGAAACTAGTTTTCATTCAGCCATCTTTTCTTACGCTGAAGTAACATCTTCCAAAGTTAACTTCACTATCAAAGATGTAATTTAGGAAATAATAAGTGTGGCTTGAGTTAATACACCTCAAAGTAGCTTTTCCCAACCTGATGTCCTCCAGATGTCAATACTTCTCAATCCCAGGCTATTGTAGACATAGGTACCAAATTGGCACCAAACTGGAGAAGCATGTTTAAAGAACTTTAAAGTCAGATTGCTGTAGAAATGTCTTTTAGATAAATTGACCAAAGGCTTATGCCTGCCTTCCCCAATCTGGTATGCTTCGATTGAATTGCATGTGATTTCATTGGTTCTGTTTGTTTCTTCTTATTTTATGAGAGTGTTTAAAAATACAGAGGAAGCGGATTATCTAGACTTGTTTCAGGCAGGTTTTGGACCATGTCAGACACAAACTTGGTCATGCTTTTAGATGACCTGTAGTACAGCTGGGATGGAGGTGGTCCTTCTACCCTTGTGCTCCTTGATCTCTCAGCAGCTTTTGATAGCATTGACCACATATCGTTCAGGGCTGGATCTGGGGGTTGAGAGTAGAGGTCACCATTTTATGGTGGCTCTCTTCCTTCCTTTGAGGCAATTTTGGTGTTGGTTGCAGGGAGAGTTTGCTCCCTAGACCCTTCCTTTGTGGGGTGCCACAGGGTTTGACTCTTTTTCCTCTCCTATGCAGCATCTACATGAAACTGCTGGGTGAGGTCATTCATCAGTTTTGGGTTTGGTATCATCAATACACTGATGATATCCAGTTATATGTTTCAACCCCAGGGGAGGCCGTTGAGATCTTCTGTCACAGTGCCTGGTGACTGTGTAAGTTTGGATAGGGATGAACTGTCTTTGATTCAATCTTACCAAGAATGAAAGTCTGTGAATGTTAGGGCCACCTAGATCTGGGGATAGTCTATCCTTTATCCTTGGATGGAGTAGTAGTGTGCAAATGAGTGAGGTCCAAATGAAGTGGCACAGTTGCTCTGCTTAGTAGAAGCAAAACCACTAAGTAGAAGTTTGAAGGAGTGCTTTGTTCCAAAAATTAACCAATTAACATGGTCCTTTTAAGACTGGTGCAGCCCTGTTGCAAATAAACCCTGTAATTATTCAGTGCGAACATAGATCTATAGGACCAAGTCTTTCAATTACGTAGTTCTACATTTTTATGTCTTTATTTCTATACTTACTCTTTTTTGGGGGGAGGGGGATATGCCATTATTAAGCCACACAGGAGCTTATTTGTATATATCTCCTTATATTTCAGGCAATGTGGGTGGAGAATTGTCATATACTGAGGTTGGCATGTTTGTTTCTTCAGATGGTGGAAATTCCTGGAGACAGGTAATTCTTGCATAAAGCTCGCTGGACAGGTTTTTCTCTAACATATTTATTTCACGTTTCTTGGGAGGAATGCATGGTTCATGCTGTACCTTTCATATTTGCAGATCTTTGAGGAAGAATACAATGTATGGTTCCTTGACTGGGGTGGAGCACTTGTGGCCATGAAACACACATCAATGCCTATTCGACAATTGTGGTGAGTTTCTTTTCACTTTTATCATGCTGCTTGCTGAGCAAGGATCCTCCTGCTGGCCGATCCAAAAGTGATCACTACATGGTTCTTTGCTGCTGATAGTAGGGTTTGGACAATATAATTCTGAGGTCAGTTTTGCAGGGGCACCCATTTTTATTTTGCATGGATTCTTTTGTTGAACATTTTTCAGAGGTTACAAAGAGCTTAGAATAACAAATTAACTAGAAAACTATAATGGGCTGTAGGAATAACCTTGAGAAACAGGAGGAAGAGCCACAGTGGTCAGATAAATGAAATCTGAGTCCAAAGCAGAAAGGTAATTTGAGAAAAATCTTAGACTTCACCCTCCCTAATTCTCTTGTAGATAAAGCCAGGGAGGGGGGATGCATATTCAGACTTGCAAGATTCTGTTACTATAACCCTATAATAAAAGTAGCATTAGTATTCATAACTAGTCTGGTCTACCTCAAAGGGCTGACAAAAACACCTGGAACAGATTATAAAGCTCCAGAAAGCAAGATGGCAAGAAACCCCATTTTCAAATGCACACCAGAACCACAGCAGCAGATAAAATCATAAAAATAATAATAATAAAAAAAATAGAATATACTGGAATGTCTGGCAAATAAGTATCTTTCTACACAGTGCCAGAGTAGCCTTAGAGTTAGTGCCATTGAGGGAAGCAGTATTCCATAAATGAGTTGACCTCAAGAAAAAACCCAGTTGCCAACCCATTTGATTTCATAGCCACCTTTTTTTTTTATGATACATGGAATAATCTGTACAAAGCACACACACACACACACACATGCACCATATTTCTATGACTATGACAGGGTTGTGATGATTTTGCTCAGGAAATCTATCCTTCATTCCGCATCCTCATAGACATTTTATTTAAATGCCAGCATCCGATAGTAAGACAGGAAAACTTGTGGGAGGGAAAAATGATGATGACTTGCTTAAGGCTATCTTATTATTTCATCTATTATATATCAACATTTTTATATCCAACCTTTCTGAACCAAGGGAATGTTGAAAACAGTGAGCAGCACAGGAATCCACCTGCATATTAAATCAACTAAAGCCAAATGCAAAGAACATATTCTTATCCAACTCTGCATAGTACAATCCTGCCTGTGTATTTGTCTTTTTATTTACTTGACTTATACCCTGTCTTTTAAAAGATTCCCAGCACAACTTTTAAAAAGTCAATAACAAAGAAAAACAAATCAAAACAGAAATAAGTCATACTGCATTTCTGGAGCTAATATTCAGGCCCAGGACTGCAGTCTCCATTGATTATGCAATGAACAAATGTCATCAGAAGAAACCACACAAGTCAGCCATGGATCCATGCATATATCTAACTAGGCTATTTCTCTTTGGTTTACTGATGGGGTAGGATTCTCTGTGCTATGCTGGTGAAATGGAATCCCCATCCATACTTGCAGTTAGCACTGCTGCTTCTAAGATATGCCTGATGTTATGCTTTTTCTAATGGGTTGATTTTGCAGCTCCTGAAGCTTTTAATGAACAGGATTATGGGGTCAATGGGGCAGCTTTCAAGAGTTGGTATTCTCAACGCTGTACGTGTGAATTAAAATAATCTTGATGAGACAGCATGTATGAAAAGGGTTGAGAAGCAGTTTGTCTAGCCATAAAAGGATTCTCCATTTAAATGATTCCTTATAGGAAAAAGTGAGGAGATTCTCTCACTTTTGTTTTTCACCTTTATTTTGATCTAGCCATATTTACTGATTCATTCCCTGTAAGCGTTTTATTCATATCTTGTATTTTTTTTTAGTGACATAGCATTTTGTGCTGTTCCAAAACCTTAGTTTCAGACAAACAGCACATCAGTGCTAAAAATCAGCCAATAAAGCACTAGACTGTATTGTCAGTCTAGATGTTTCTGTTTAAGACTCTGTATTTCAGTATCTAAAAGAACTGACCTAATTTCTCATCAGCCATTCAATTAAGCTTAAAAGGAAATGCACACTTCCCATGAATGTTCCCATTAAGGGCTGTCATGAAGGATTCATGACACAATGATCTCAAAACAACTGAATATTAATGACACAGATAATTGTTCAAACCAAACTTAAGTTTTGCTACATTATATATACATCTAAATTATCTCTGTCAATCTCATTTTTCTGAAAAGCCTTTTTCTGAAAAAGGGGATAGAACATAATTATGGTCAAAACAATATATAAAGGTCAACATTTTCTTCTTACCTGCAAGGCTCTGAAAAAGCAGAGCATGTTTTATCATCCATGTACAGCTGCACGTGGCTGGGATGTGGGAATGAGGAGAACTCATTGAGTTTGGCTGTTTATTTAACATACCTCTCCCTCATTAGGCCTCTTTAGATTTCAAATGGGATTATCTGGTAACCTTTCCAAGGCTAAATAGAATTGGATTAGATTGGATTGGATTATTGCTACATACTGCTTGAGTTTTTTCACATCTTCTGCATTGATGAATGGGGGGATGGTTAGACGTCTGTGGCTGACAAGTTAAAGTTTTATTTAACTTGGTGAACAGTGAGATACAGATGAAATGTAGTCTGCATCATTTCATCTGCAAAAAATCAAAAGGCATACCAAAGAAGGTCAGCACTTGTTTTCCATTGTCCTGGAGAGAACAGCATGGAATAATGGATAATTTACAGGAAGGCAGACTGAATGTTAGGAAAAAGCTTCGTAACGGAGCAATACAAGTGAGATTAATTACCCATAAAGGTGGTGGGCCCCCTTTGTTGGGCATGTTCAAACAGAACAACATAGCCATCTGTCAAAGCGGCTTTAATTGGAGTACCTGCCCTGGGCAGGGGCTTGATGTCCCCAAAAGTTCCAATATTAGTACTCCTAAACAAGTAGATGATGGCTTGTTTATTAATATTGAATTCAGTACATGGATGCAAGAAATGCCCATCTATGGTGCTTTTGCACATATTCATTCACTACTGTTTATTTTGGTATTAAAGGACCATTTTTAAAATAAGATCTGCTATAAAGAACTTTGCATTTAAATCATGTGATTTTAAAAATAGTTTCTTTCAAAGCACATTTACAATGCCCATTTTCCTCAAGATATTTATTTTAAAATGAATTTGAAGCAAAGAGTTGCACAAAGGACATTTTTGAAGGGCAAAAGATTAAGTTTCAGAGTATAGGTTAGTTCATGAGGTGCAGATCATATTTCATAAAGATGGTCTCAAAAGCATCCTTCATTCACTGGAAATATTTTTCCAGCTTATTAAATCAGTTGTGTTATTGGATCACAGTTCTGATTTTTCTTTTTAGTTGCTGGTCACGATCGTAGAATCTTTCACAATGAAGTGAGAACAATATATAAGTCATATCACAATATGGTTAAATCTATGAGATTTCTGCATCTCACAGATTTCACATTTATGATCATATCTAGGAACATAAAAAATAATGTGCATTGTTTCTGCCCAAATCTCATGAGATTTTGGTATTATTTGCATAGATCTCATATGAGAAACCAACATGAATTCAGCCATTGATTGACTGATTGTCCACATATGCCATTCAAAGGTGTTACAGATGTGTAGATATCCTCAGGCACTGTGTTGCTAATCCCTCACTTTGATAGAGATTTTATTTAGGTTTACAAATCTGAAAATATTGTTTATTTTATGGGACAACTGCAGTACATTTATACCGGTCTTCATTGGTGATGAAGCCTATACAAATTGAAGTACTCATGTTAACTTCATGTTTAATACAATGTTTGTTTGCCACAAGAATTTTGCATGGTCACTTCCAAAAAAGAAGCGTAGTAGAATCTTATAAATACCACCGAAACTGAATCAGAAACCCTACCTCAAGCATGAAAGAAACAGACAATAATTCACTGCGCAGGTTATTTTATATGATCTTCCATTTTCCTCTAATCAGAGCAATCATTTTACTCAGGCACTGCTGTCTCTTACTGACTTTAATCATTGTGGTGCATTACTCCTTCAAAGCACGTTGAACCAGAGTATTAATAATATGGAAGATTGATGCCTATTTATAAATCCAGCTACTCAGCCGAAGACATTGTTTAATTACCTTGGAAATGGCTCCAGTGAAACCCTTTCATGTGTACTTATCTCATCTCTTTCAATCTCAGGGTGAGTTTCGATGAAGGAAGGACCTGGAATAAATATGGCTTCACATCAGCACCGCTCTTTGTGGATGGGTCCCTAGTGGAGCCAGGCATAGAGACTCAGATAATGACGTAAGTTGCAGACTTAAACAAGATGCCTTGGGAGACAGTAGAGATGAGCCATTTAGGCCAGGGTTCCTCAACCTTGGCGACTTGAAGATGTGTGGCTGGCGGGGCAATTCTGGAAGTTGAAGTCCACACATCTTCAAGTCGCCAAGGTTGAGGAACCCTGATTTAGGCCATCCATCAAACAGAATATCAGGTTGGTTCCAGGGGATCTCAGGGTTGCCCTGCAGAGTCTGAAATCTTATGCTAATATATCATCTATATTTGTTATTCCTGTAGCTTTAATAGTACTGCTTCTGTTATATATTTCCATTGCAGATTTAATTTAAATGTGTGTGATGCTAAAACAAACTACCAATACTTACGGAGCCAGCAGTATTTAGATCACTAATCCTGTTTTATTTATGGCAATCAAGCAACCTGATCATGCTGGATATTCCCATTTTCATATACTCATGTAACATGAGAAAAAAAAACTCTCTACGTTGCCTTGCACTCTTGTTATTCAGGCATAGAATAGTTAAGTTAACACAAGTTAACACAAAGTGACTTTTTTTTCTCAGACCTTAGTGGATTGACCTGTGTCCATTGTGATCATTAAGATAAGCCTTTGTAAGGAGTTAAGATCTAGGTGATGCATAGAATAGGACTACCAGAACAGGAGAAGTTAAGATTTTTGCAGCCCAAATCTGATTGTCACAACATACAACATCTTCTCTTTGCCAAATTAGTCCATGCTATCATGCCCATGTTAAAGCATGTTATTAACTGGGACAAACAAACAGATAAAATCAGTAATAACATAACCATTTGAATATACAAATTAAAACCTCTGTGAGATGAAAAATATTTCCAGATGTTTCTTTTTATCAGAAAAAAAAAATCAGAGATTTGTTTTTGCCAGGATTATTACAGTTATACACTTGCTACTTTTCAATACCGCAGCTCATTGGGAACTGCCCTAACAATTCTATCAGGCAATGAATATGTCAGTAAAACTCAATCTTCTTTTATAACTACTCACCTTGAAAATTAAGTGGACTATAAATCCATCAATGTACCTGGGTTCCTGAAATAAGTGAAGGTTTGCAAACAAGGGTCCAAGGCTCAAGATCAGACTTGAACCTAGAGTTATAATTTCTTCACTTCATATTTCATTGCCACTTACCCTCTCTAAATAGGAGATCACTTCACACTTTATCTTTAGCCAGAAATAAATCAAGCTATGTCAAATGTTCCATTTAAAGACTAAACAATCTTGATGGTTTGATTTATTTATCTATCTACCTATCAAATGGTCAGAGTAATATTTGAAGAGGCTTGGTTTAATCACTACTTCCTCCTTCTCTAAGGCTTTGGGAAATAATGGCTGGCTGGTGGCTCCTGATATCTGAAATAGGAAACATGGTCTCTTGATAACTACAATCGGCTGAAAAGTTTCCTTGGTTTATATACAGCAGTCACTCAGATGGGTGTATTTTTGTTTTGGGAGTTGGGGAGAGGTTGTCAGACTTCATCTGGGGTTGTCTTTTTAAAGTAAGGGTATTTACATTTTGAACTTTAAGCCTCCTGGTCTTAGCAAGTATTTCTGAACTAGTGGTACAAAGCCTTCCCTGTTACTGGTTTTGTTATACAGTATTTCTGTTGCAGCTGCCACTTGCTATCTGTAACAGCTTACCGGGTGGCCTCCTTCATACAGATTTATCATTGCTCTCATCCACACTGACTCTAAAAGGGTTGGTGAAGCAATACAAGTTCAGATACCTGGCTCTGTAATGGGGAGGTGGAACAGAGATTGCTTCATATTAAGCAAAAGGAGACCATTAAGCAGATGGAGGTATGACTCATTTCCGCTACAGAAACTCTCTTCTAGTACATCAGGGACATGGTTTGATACATTTCTAGTCTACTCCACTCTTTCTACAAGGAAGAAAAATGTCTTACCCTGAAAATATGGTCCAAGCAAACAGCTTATTTTATATGATAAGCCACTGAACATTATCTTGCCTTGACTATTTCATACTTGAGAGAGTAAGTTTGCTTAGATTTCTTATTATGGTTTCAGTTTTGTCCTTGGATATATCAGGTAGATAAAAAGCTACAGTTTCACATAATACTCATTTTTTAGTTTGTGGGCAGAAACAAGAATTCTGGTTTCTCTCTCTCTCTGTGCATGTAAATATCTGGATTTTATTTGTAAGCATAGTTTTCATCTGGAGCAAAATGGAGTGTAAATAGACATTTTTTTTCTATTTGCATTTTCATATATGTTTACCTAATTTTGCATTTTCAATATGCAGACCAAAATGGTTAATCTTTGAAAGCACAAATCTCTGGATTTTATAGTACAGTTGTCCAACTCATTGCCCCCCCCAAAAAAGTATAGAAAAATGCACCTGTTTGGAAAATGTGTGCCTTAGAATTGAGATTTTCATGAAAATATGCAACTTAAAATGGATTATAAGTTGGAGAAATTACTGGCCATTTTGCCTATATATAAAACTTTGCAGCTCAGAAAAGTATATGAAGTTTTGTGCACTTCTATGACAATTATTTTCAAGCTGATATGGAAACAAGACAAACTGGATTTAAAATTGGGTAACAAGAGAAACAGAAATTAATAGATTAATCCATCCATCCATCCATCCATCCATCCATCC